GGCAGCTGCTCTGCCTATACGTGCTGTGAACTTGAAAGTGATGTCTTCTTGTCAGAGATTTTAAGTAAAACAAAGACATGTATCACAATAAGACCCGTGACAGCCAGACTAGTCACAAAGAACAAATAACCAGAGCCTGTCCAAAAACTAGCTGATATCTGTGCACCCTTTGGAAGGGGTGTGACAGAAAATGTTGTACTCCAGTGTCACATAAATCCCATCTCTTCTGACTGGGCAAAACCAATCACTCGCCTTTGTCACTCAATCTCACTAACACACACACCCACCCACGCGCACACACTCACACACTCACACAAACTATTTTACCTCCTTCCCACAATACAATACAGTAGTATTGTTTCCTTGACTTGAGCTGTTTCAATAACATACCCATTGTGTTGCGGTGATGTATAACTGTAGCACTAGTTTCCGTGTTCTACTTCCTCATCTCTCTGTCTCTCAGAGACATATACATTGACCCAACAAGCCCGCAGTACTGAGGACACAGCTGTCATAGTTGGGAGATTCCATTCCCTTCATAACTTTGTGCCTTTATCCCTGTGGTGGCTGACCTTCCTCTCAGGGTCAAAAGTGCAAACTGAAAGCTTATTGGCAGAAAATTCGAGTTGCACTTTATTTGTCTCAGAGTTTCACGGTGAACTGAGAACTCAGGCTGCAGAAACAAAATGCATTGTGCGCTTAACCCATCAATAGGCCCGGGTTTTTATTGAATAAGTGGTATCAGGACCTCAGTGGATGTATTTTTCTAGTATGAGCAGTATGATCAGAATGTGGGTCAGGGCTCAGGCGCAGGGCACTTAAACAGCACTGCTGATAGCACACAGTATTTATAGAAATGCGTGTGAGAGAGCTAGACCAAGTGTGTGAGCCAAGGTGTTGAGGGACTTTGTTATCTGAGCCTTTCTGTGTCTTTAACCTCTTAACCCACTTTCGGAGGTCAGGGGTACGCGGCAGGGTCCCTCCCATCTATTCTTTGCTGTGCTCTTGAGTCCCTCTGTGATCCCACAGCAGCTGCACGCCTCCTTGGACTGTTGCAGACAAACAATACCATGTCTTTCCTCCCCTCCCCCCTCTATCCCTCATCTCTTCGTCAGTCTCCTGTCTTCCATTCTGTCATCTGTCTGTCTCCATTCATCAGCCCTGGCCTCTTTCTCTAATTTGCTCTTGCCCTGCTGTATTAAAAAAAAAAAAACATTGCTGATGCTGCCTTTGAGAATATATGTTTCAAGGACAACTACAACTAGGGGAATGTTTATGGAGGAAATATGGGAAGGAAGGATATGAGATAGAAGAGCAGACAGGAGGTATGTGTCTATGAGTGTGTGTCTGGTCACATGGTGGGATGTTTGAGTTAATTGGTAGAAGGCCATGTAGTAATCTGTGCCCTGAGTGCTGCATTAAGGCTTACTCACAGGGATGTGCTTCATCCACTGTCGCCTTTCTGTACAAAGAGCAGGGGTTTTTAACATGGAACTTAATCCATCTTGCCCGAGGAGGAAAACAGTTTCTGCAGAGTACCTGGACACCGTTCTCACTGATACTGTGACGCTGTGTTTTCATTTGTTGTATTGTCTGAATATCAGAGAGAGAATCAGACACCTCGGCCGTGCGTGGGGTTAATTGCCTAGAAAGATGATCCTTCTTTCTGTTTGTATGTAACATGCTTTGTTTTAAGGGAATGGGCAGACAGAAAGTGTGTTTATGTCTTTTTTTACCCCTCTGTGATACTAAACTTGGATGAATCAAAAGGGAGTCGGCTGCCACATGTCCTTTGGTTAGCAAGTCTGTTAAATGTGAATTTTCTTCCTCATATTGCATGTGAAAAGAATAAACATGGCAAAAGTACTGGATTGTGTAAATCATGGAGTTTTTTTTTTAATTCAGAGAAAGATTACATTTGACATTTCCACTGTTATTTGCCTCCAAGATTTTGAATGGGAAGGAAGAGTAGCTTACTAGGAAGGTTGTTACAGTCTCTACCATGGCCATACCTGTAAATGAAATATTGGCTTATGTACTTAAATCATCTAACTAATACTTTTTATATTAGCGAATGAATGTAAACAATGTCCTAGTGACAAAACCCACAGAGGTTTCAGGTTCAGTCTCACAGATTTCATCAACCTTGTTTCCTGCAGCTGCAGGCAGTTTAAAAACTCTAAAATTGCATTGTATGCCACCTGCTCAGCACCAAACAACACATTTAGTTACTATGGTGAATAAAGCATTTATCTAAGGAGTTGGTGGAGACCAAAAATTTAGCTAATTGTAGCGTGACTATTGGACTGGTGGCCAAAAACAATTAATATAAATGCTAATAGTGGTCCATATCTGCTGATATGTTCACCATATGGACTTTATAAGGTGATAATATGGCAATGTGTTTATAGCATGTGTCTGTTGCCCCCAAGAAGCCAAAAAACCAATAAACATAGGTTTAAGTAAAAATTACTTTTTTTTACTTTTAGCACAACAGTAAATGCATACTATTAACAAGTAATGTCTGTGTAGTCACTTGCACTTCTTTAATGAATTGACAAGCAGAGAGGAGCAAACCAAACTTGACATGTTCATCATAATGAATGTATATGTCTCTCAGTTGCCATATAAATACACCAGTGAGGCACCTATTTCTGTATTTTTTTGAATGACAGCGGAGTTCTAAAGTATCAACATTACTCATTAATTTGTACCTGCTGCAATGGCACCACAGTCTGGCTGACTGAGTGACCCTTGTAGAGACAAACATGTCCTTCTCTGTAATGAACACTGTATGGTTAAATGAAAACAGCTTTATTTCTTTTTTTCTAAAGCGCTTTTTATTTTTTACAGGAGTAGGTGTTGTTTGTGCTCTACTGTTGGTAGTTAAATGTTTCACAAGGCATGTGTTTAACCTGGGTGTTGTGAAGCACTCTGAGGTCAAAGGTCACATGTGGTTTCTCTGTGCACTCCTCCAGACTCTGATCTTAGAGATTGACTCTTTGTGTTTCATTTGAGTGTGTGTTTCTATGTGCATCTTTGCTCATGTACGTGTGTGTGTGTGTGTGTGTGTGTGTGTGTTTGACTTCCTCCTACACATCAGATTGCAGAAGAAAAGGACAACAGCCTGACATGGCCATCATGGTTGTCCTTATCCTACGCACCAGCCTGTGTGTGAGTGAGTCCAACAGCTAGCAGAACAACAAGCCCTTGCTGAGACATGTATCACACTGCTCTTACTTATAAAGCTCCCATATACCCTCACTGTCCTAGAAAGCACATAAGAGTCACCATGCTGGCAGACATACAGATTCTAGCCTCCACATTTGGCAGTAGTCATCCATTCCCAGTCCTGTAGTAATATAGTAATAGAGCTGGAGAATGAAAGCTTTGGTGAATTTACAGACAGAAGCATTCTCTCTTCTTTCTGCTTTTCACTGCCACCTCACAAGAGAAAAGAAGAAAAGGTCCTTCTTCAGATGTGTGACACTAGAAAAAATCAAGTTTGGCAGAGTGTTTTTTTAAGAAAAGAAAGTGAGATGGATGGAGCGAAAAGGCAGAGATGAGGAAATTGGAAAAGAGAGGAATGGGGACAGAAGCGGCAGTATTGGAAATGGGTAGTGGGGCGATGCTGAATAGAGTGTGTGACCAATAAATGATGAGCTCTTCCTCTCGACTCCAATGTGATTGGTTACACCTCCCCGAGGCATTACCCACAATACAGCTGGCGCTATAGGGGTGCATTTTAAATAGTCTCTGCCTGATGTGACTCCTAAGGTTAATGCAGTTACTAACTGCCATACAAGCTGTAAAT